GTCCCAGTTATAACTGATGAGCAACCAAGCTATGAAATAAGAGTTTTCTCTGTTGCCATCTAATGATGGATATCTGCAGGCCATGTATATGTACAGATATGTATACATATGACATATACTGTACATACATATTATAAAGAAGTACTTACTTGCCATTATTTAACTTAAAGCCTAAAACAACAATGTACTTATCCATAAGGCATAAGATACACAAGCGTAACTTCATCTATTAGACAAACTATGGCTCATATTTTTATTTGTCTTAAAATATTCACGTATTGCCTATCATGTAAAAAAGTATAATTTCAAACAATTATAAACAATTATAAAGAGCAAGATTGTAGCTAAATTACTAAATTAGCCTAAATTAGCTCCAAGCATATTTTTTGAAGAACAAACAAAAGAAATACTGTTTCAAAAGAATTGACCGACTCCTAATATACCTATATATAATAAACATAACATGGGGTTTGAAGCCTTAACATTAAAACAGCTGTGTATTTCTTGTAACTTATTATCAGCCCATAAAAAACAATCTTTAGACCAAGATTAAACTCCTTTAAAACATTACAAGAATAAAAATGGCCATTGGCAAAGTTCATGGTCCTACTTAATTCAGCCTTCCAGGGCTGAAGGCCTCAGCATTGCCTGGCCCAAGTCTAAATAGGCTGAAACCAACAATCCCCAAATTTTTGGAGGGAGCAGGAACGGCCACTGTCCAAGAAAGTTCAGTCATAGAGGGCTCTTTCCCAGACTTAGCTGGAGAACCCAGATTTTGAACTGAGGGTTTTGGATATACATACATACATACATACATACATACATACATACATACATACATACATCTAAAGGAAGCAGTGTGGTATTGAGCACTTACCTTCCATGAGTTTCCTACTTTTTATCTTCCTTCTCCTTTGTGTCCTTTGCTGCAAGGTTGCCATTTGTCTTTTTTTTTTTTCACCTACAGATGTAGCTGCTTCTCAGTCTGCCTAGCCTTCCTGCCTTAAGTTATTATCTTAAGTGTCTGCACCTGTGCTTCCTTCCAAAAGCTCTAGAGTTCAAAATGGCCAAATGTAAAGGGAAAAAGAATTTATTGAAGTTTTTACGTGAACTTCTTTTTTTCATGGGAAGCTGAAAAAAAGTCCCCAGTTCTACTATGAAAAGTTCAGAAACCTTCTAGTCTTCAGTTGAATCCAGATAATTTAATTTCCACCTCTATAGTTAGGAAAACTATGCAGGAGGGAGGAAATGGGTGCTCTTTCTAGCATGCTTCCCTCTACTCTATGACCGCTTGGAACTAGAAACTCATGTTTTTTGTTTGTTTTCTTTCCTTCCTTTGAGATTTCTTTTTTTACTTTGGGTCATGCCAATATCATAACTACAGAACAAAAATTTTCAACCTTGGCCTCTTTAAGATGTGGGGACCTCACTTTCCAGAATGCTGGCTGGGGGATTCTAGGAGTTGAAGTCCATCCATCTTAAAATGGCCAAGGCTTGCTAGCTTGTTTGTTTGTTTGGTCAATTATTGTTTGTTTGTTTAGCATATGTCGATGTTACTTTATCTAGGAGACTATAATGCCAATGCAGAGTACATAGTAGTTTGGCTGTCTAAGATTGGTAGTCCGTTTGGTTCATGCTCGCACACTTTCCAAGGTGCACCCCAGGGGATGAGCTAGCTCCACACCAGAAAGAAAAACAAACAGCGTTCAGGGACCTTCTCCCTCCAACAAAGCCGCCTCACAAATGGACATTGATCCAGGAAGGCCCAGCGCTGGCAGGCTTCTGACCATCCGCACAAAGTGCTGGCTCATCTTCCCACTTAAGTAGTACCTGTTTATCTACTCGCATAAAACATGGTTTCAAACTGATAGGTGGGCGGAAGCTGAGGCAAATGTTGGGAGCTCATCCTACCACACAGTGCTAGGACTCAAACCTCAGGAGCACAGCGTTCTCCAGCATCATTAAGCCACTGAGCCATCATTCCTCTTGGCCAAGGCTGAGAAACACTGTTATAGAAGGTATTCTTTGGCTTAATATATTAACCAAATATCTGTAGCAATTTTTTCACAGCCCCATGCCAATTATGATTCCTATTTCCAATTGACAACAGTTACATTGGACTGATAACCATCTCATCCCTATCATGTCAGCCCATCCCATTTGGCCAGGAAGGGAAGGTAGGGAAGATACGTTATGGACCCCTTTGATTAAAGAAATTTGACTGACAAGAGTCCAGGAATGGGGCCTTCTTTGCTGTGGCTCCCACATCTGGAATACTCTCCCCCCCAGAGGTGGGGCAGGCTCCCTCTGTCCTAGCCTTTTGTAGCAGTTTGAAGGAGTTTGAAAGCCTGGCTCTGCCCACTGGCATGAGGCTTACTTAGCAGCACACAACCCTTGGAGGGGGAGGGGTTGGTGCCTTCCACCCACCTTTTGACTTTCAACCTATTTTATCCCTGCTTTTATCTTTTTAAAGGTATTTTATTTTTATATGGTTTTTATGTTTTAAATGTACACTGTCCAGAGTCACTCTGCGAGATGGACAGTATCTAAATTGAACGAATAATAATGTCTTAGTTTGATTTGTAATAGTTATTCTTTTACGTAGATCAGAATTCTATCAGTAAAGGCATGAAAATGCTCCTCTGCTCTCCTTTCTCCCTCAACTTATTTCTGATATTAATTGAAAGCATTTTAATGACAAATAAATAATTTTCTGACTAACTTCAAAATGGCTGCAATTCCTAGGCAAAAGTATTCATTTTCCATCTTTGTTACTACAAGGAGGAATTTTAGGAGATACAAATTGTCATTTAAAAAAAAAATAGCATGCAAGTCCACCTACCTTAGCCATCCAGATTCCTCCAATGCACCCCAAGCAGAGCAATTGAGCAAATTATAATTCAGCACATCTGGACAGCATCAGATTGGAAAAGATGATAAAAACTCCATACTTGCAAACTACTGCAAACGTTTGTCAAGAGACTCAGAATGATGTTATTTAACGATCATCGTAAATTAGTCAAGAAACTGGGAATTAATCTCCCAAACTAGAAGATGAGAAGAGATATACAGGCAGGGGGTGCTATTCAGCAGGTTCTGACAGGTTCTGGAGTACCGGTAGCGGACATTTTGAGTAGTTCAGAGAACGGGCACATACCACCTCTAGCTGGCCCCAGAGTTAGGAAGGAATGGGAATTTTGCAGTATCTTTCCCCTGGAATGGGGTGGGAATGGAGATTTTGCAATATCCTTCCACCAGGAGTTGGGAAGGAATGGAGATTTTGCAGTATCCTTCCCCTGCCACTCCCACCATGCCACGCCCACCAAGCCACACCACGCCCACCAAGCCACGCCCACAGAACCAGTAGTAAAAAAATTGAATTCCACCACTGTATACAGGTAGCCCTTGATTTATAACCATTCATTCAGTGACCATTCAGAGTTACAGAAGGACTGATGAAAGTGACTTATGACTGGTTTTAAAAAATATAATCATGTAGCATCCCCATTATCACGTAATCAAAATTAAGATGCTTGGCAATTGGCATGTATTTATGACAGTTGCATTGTCCTGGGGTCATGTGATCATCATTTCTAACCTTGCCAGCCGGCTTCTGGCAAGCAAAGTCAATGGGAGAAGCCAGAGTGGCTTAATGACTACATGATCACTTAACTGCACACTTAACAACTGTGGCAAAAAAAGGTCATAAAATGGGGCAGAGTTCTCTTAACAACTGCCTTGCTTAGCAACAAATATTTTGGGCTCAATTGTGGCTCAATAAGTTGAGGACTACTATAATGCTAAGCTTTTTCTAGATGTATAATATCTTGCATTCCAATGATAGTGTTGGTCTTGATTGTTGTTGTTCAGTTACTAAATCGTGTGCGACTCCTCACAACACCATGGACCACAGCAAGCCAGCCCCCCACCCCCACCCCCGTCCTTCACTGTCTCCTGGAGTCTGCCCAAAGTCATCCCCACTTGCACTGATGACACTATCTAACCATCTCATCTGCCGTGCCCTTCTCCAATTGCCTTCAATCTTTCCCAACATCAGGGTCTTTTCCAATGAGTCTGAATCAGAATAGAATCAGAATCAGAATAGAGCTGGAAGGGACCTTGGAGGTCTTCTAGTCCAGCCCCCTGCTGAAGTAGGAGATCCTATACCATTTCAGACAATTGGTTATCCAATCTCTTTTTAAAAACCCTATGATGAAGGACCTACAACTTCAGAGGGCAAGCTGTTCCACTGGTTAATTGTGCTCACTGTTAGCAAGTTTCTTCTTAATTCCAGGTTGCTTCTCTCCTTGATTAGTTTCCATCCATTGTTTCTTGTCCTGCCCTCTGGTGCTTTGGAAAATAATCTGACCCCACTCCTCTTTATGGCAGCCCCTCAAATATTGGAATACTGCTATCATGTCCCTCCTAGTCCTTCTTTTCTCTAGACTAGCCATATCCAGCTCCTGCAACTAATCTTCATATGTTTTAGTCTCCAGGCCTTTAATCATCCTACTTGTTCTTATTTATTTATTTATTTTATTTGTCAAAAACATATTTGGTAATAAGTATAAGCATGGATTGGATACATAAAATAGGTATAAATAGAAGAAACAGTAGGACAGGGATGGTAGGCACGCTGGTGCTCTTATGCACGCCCCTTACAGACCACTTAGGAATGGGGTGAGGTCAACAGTAGACAGTCTTAGGTTAATCTTCTTTCCATTTTTCACAAAGTCTCAACATCTTTTTTATAATGTGGTGACCAAAACTAGATGCAGTATTCCAGATGTGGCCTTACTAAGGTTTTTATAAAGCAGTACTAATACTTTCTGTGATGTTGATTCTATGCCTCTGTTTATACAACCAAGGATTATATTAGCTTTGTATAGAGTCTCCTGCTTGGGCAGGAGAAGACCTCCAAGGTCTCTTCCAGCTCCATTCTGATTGATTGATTGATATTTAATCTCTTTTTTTCACATACATACACAAAAACTCAGCTATACATTTGTTCCCAATCTTTTGTTTTATTTCACCGCAGCTATTTTAAAACGTGTCTATTTGTGAAGCTGTGAAAATCCATTTATGCTCATCAGAGTTAAGCAATCACAGACAGTAGAAAAGACTCTGAAGGAGCCGTGTGATTCATTTCAACATCACTGCAAAAATGGAAAGTGAGACAATAAGCCATTTTCAGTATTGTTCCATTGTCACAAAATTAAAACTATTAAGAATATGCAGAACTTTGGTGCTTCCTAATAGTAAAACTGCACTCAGTAAGAAAAAATCATAGAAAAAGGCAACTAAATGTAGGATGCATGGAAGAATGTACACAGCACGCTTAACATAACATAACATAACGGGCCTGGTGGCTCAGCAGACTATTTTTATTATTTTTTAATTATTTATTTATATTTTTATACCGCCCTTCTCCCGCAGGACTCAGGGTGGTGCACAGCCAAAATAAAACATAGTATACAAAATTTAAAAACAATTTAAAAACAATTAAATAATTTTGGCCCAAATAATTTAAAACAACCCAATTAAAACCGAATCAATTAAAACTGAGAGGATGGGATCAAGCCAGTCCGGCTAGATGGAATAGGTGTGTTTTCAGGGCCTGACGAAAAGTCCGGAGGTCTGATATCGTGCGTATCTCAGGGGGTAGGTCATTCCAGAGGGCTGGTGCCGCCACAGAGAAGGCTCTCCCCCTCGGGGTCGCCAGCTGGCACTGTCTGGCCGACGGCACCCTGAGGAGGCCCTCTCTGTGCAAGCGAACCGGCCGGTGGGAGGCTATTGGCGGCAGAAGGCAGTCTCGCAACTACCCCGGCCCTAAGCCATGGAGCGCTCTAAAGGTGGTCACCAACACCTTGAAGCGCACCCGGAAGACCACAGGAAGCCAGTGCAGCTCACGCAGGAGAGGACTAAAAGCATTGTGATTAACACCAGCTGTCTGCAATTACTGTAAATTCAAATCTCACCAGGCTCAAGGTTGACTCAGCCTTCCATCCTTTCTAAGGTAGGTAAAATGAGGACCCAGTTTGTGGGGACAATAAGCTGACTTTGTATAAATATACAAAAGTATGAAGGCTATTGCTTAACGCATTGTAAGCCGCCCTGAGTCTCCGGAGAAGGGCGGCATATAAATCAAATTTAAAAAAAAAACAAAAACGTGTTCATGTTTGCTTATCAGAGGTATGGTTAAAAAAATCCAAAATTGCATCATTTTGAGTTTGCATGACATGGTAAGTCTGAAACCTTGGATAAAATATGTGCTCAGAGGGACTGTGGGTTAAAGATGGAAATGTGCATGTTGTTGTTACACAGACGTTTTCCCTCTGAGGATGCAAACCAGAGGTGGGTTTCAGCAGGTTCTGACCAGTTCTGGAGAACTGGTAGCAGAAATTTTGAGTAGTTTGGAGAATTGGTAAATACCACCTCTGACTGGTCCCGTCTCCATCTATTCTCTGCCTCCCGAGTCCCAGCTGATTGGGAGGAAATGGGGATTTTGCAGTAACCTTCCCCTGGAGTGGGGTGGGAATGGAGATTTTACAGTATCCTTCCCCTGCCATGCCCACCAAGCCATGCCCACCAGGCCATGCCACACCCACCAAGCCACGCCCACAGAACTGGTAGTAAAAAACAATTGAATCCCACTACTGATGCAAACATAGTCTGGGTCCAATTTAGTATAAATACACAAATAAGAGACTTCTCCTTAACTGTTACACTACTAAAGAAGAAAACATGAACATTCTCATCAGTTGGAATCTCAACATTATTACAACGGCTAACACTTGGCTAAAAGTGGCTAATACTTGGGATTTTTTTCTCCTATATTGTTTGGGGGTGGGGAGAGAATGGGTTCTAATAACAGTTGCCACCTTGCTAAGTCAGTTTATTGATTCTATGTGGTTGTATAGATATTTTCTCAACAGTCCTCAATCTTCTGCTCTTCAATTACTGTATGTGGGACTGAAACTCCCATCATCTCCAAGCATGACTAGAATTATTATCCAAGACAGTTGGAACAGTCTGTAGCTCATTCAAAAGTCTTAGGGTAGGGCAGCCAAGGAACTGGGAAGGAGGGCTACTTTTTATTTTCTGTCCTCCAGTAAACTTGGACGGGGCCTGAAAGGAAATGTAAGGGTCTGCCCAGTTACATGTCTGCTATGGAACACACACAAAAATGGACAAGTTTTCTATTTATAAAAGGACACAGAAAAGAAAACAGCAAGAAAAAAACGAAAGGAACAAAATGTGGGGAAAAAAATATTTTTTTTCTTCCATTGCACTACCCACCACATATTGTCACTGTTCTTCTATTCTATGTAATATTAACAAATATCCATTTTCTACCTCAAGCCTGGGTGACACGCAGTTTTTTTTGCCGTAGTGTTTCCCCAACTCGTTCTAGAATTGGTATCCCTTTTGACTTCCTGATCATTGTTTCATCATGCATCACGATGTCACCATCAGATCCTGCGAGCAGGGGCAAAGGAGCCACCGCAGGAGTTGATGTCAGTCCTTCAGATTCTGAAAACTCAACATCCATGAGCAAGGGGTGATCAGGTATCAGTCCTGCTGCATCAGTAAAAGCTCCCAACCCTGTGGAAGGTTCTGCAGTCCTGGAATATCTTTGGGGAAGATTCATCATCTCATTTGCTGTTTGGAGATCACTGGTGGGTTGCATATCAATGTCGTTGGGACTTTCTGTTGAAGGAAGCCGCACTGCAGGCAGTGCAGACAGGGAATTTTGGTCCTCTATTTTCAATTCCTCTATCAGATCAGTGACGGAAACATTGGCATTTTGATGCCTGGAGTACTTAGAAAAGCTTGTGGTATGATCAAGATGAATTGAAAATTCTTCCCAGAATCTGCCACCAGAATCTGAAAGCTGTTAGAACAAAGCACCATTAGGTATTATTATATAAATATTTCAACCAAAAGGATGAAGCACAGGGAGAAAAAGGAATCTAAACCATTCAGGTAATCAGAAGTTCAAATAAAGAGCATGTGGTTCTAATGTATTTTCTGGTATGTATTTAGGAGAAACAGCTCAACAGATCTTTTTTACTCAGTGTTTCTACCATTAACAATATATTCTCCGTGCAGTAGTGATGATATGTAGAATCAGATATTTTATTTCTTTGGTGTATGTTCTTGTGAATATTCCTAACAAAAATGTTTCCGGCTTTCTTTCAATTGGTTGATCTATTATTTTTTCTAACCATTTCTTTATAGTTGTCCAAAATATGCACAAAATTGGAAACAAGAAAAGATACCAACAGACGAAGAAGTGATAGAAAATTTTTTAGAATGTGCCGAGATGGATAAATTAACAAAAGAAATTAAAGAAAAAGAAGAAACAGATTATTATATAATTTGGAATAAATGGTATGAATGGCTTGAGTCTAGAAATAAAGGGTAATATACACAGGGAAGAATTTAAAAGTATAAATTATGTATATGATAAATGTATAGAAATGTAAAAATTAAGGTTATGAGTGTTAGAAAATACAATGTAATCAAAGAAAAAGGGACAATGTAGAAAAGGAAATAGTAATAGAGAGATGGGAGGATAGATACAAAATGGAAAGAAGACCACAAAGAAACACTGTTGAAAAAAAAAGATATATTTATATGTTGTATGTTATGTGATTGTTATATTGTGTCATAATAAAACATTTTTTAAATTTTAAAAAAACAACAACAATATATTCTCCACCAGCCAGTGAATATCTACTAAATCAACCTGTAGGGAAAACCAGTGATGTTACTTGCAACTCTACATGTTGCATTTTTAATGAAAACCAAAAATAGGGCCACAAGTTGCCTATCACTCAGTTAGGGCTTGATTAGAAGACAAATGTCTATTTGCATGCTAGACTTATCATATTTAGTAGTTGCTATGAATTTTTTTATTCAAAGTCATCTACCGACATACTCCAAGTGACTAATGACAAAGGAGAAGACAAGGGGCGTGTGATTCAGTTGAACTTGCTTCTGTTCTCAGGAGAGAGGAGGATAAATACCAAATAATCTTCCATTATAAATCTGGACAATTTGGATACTTAGCAAAAGACAATTGTGCCATCATTTACAGATTGGCATCTGGCAGATATTCTCAAATGGGTCTTTGCTTGTGGTGACACTGTCCTCTGGAATTCTGTTTCCCCTGATAGTTAAGAAGTCTCAATTATTATTTTTCTGTTTTAAAAGTGGGTATGAGCTTCAATGTTTTCTTAGAGGAAGTAATACAAAACTATATCAAGCAGGTTATAACAAACCTACTGGTATTATATAAACCTGCATTATCGTTTTTCCATGTTGCAATATGGCTGAAGTCATAGATGTCTAGTACAAAGCTGCTTTTTCAAGAGGCAACTGGACTTTCTGGTTTTTCTTTGAAGCTGTTTTGCTTCCCATCCAAGAAGCTTCTTCAGCTCTGATGAGCTTCTTGGATGAGAAGCAAAACAGCTTCAAAGAAAATTCCGAAAGCCCAGTTGCCTCTTGAAAAAGCACCTTTGGGACAACCATGACCTGGATGACTGAGACTCTCCATAGCCATGTCCAGTACAACTTGTTCCTACCCTTCAGATGCCCATCAGGAGATTGGGAGGCAATTCTGGAGCTAAAGATGTCTCCTCCAATTTTGTGCTGCCGAGATATGTTGTTCCTATCTTCCATAATACTGAGACAACCCAATCAAGGACTTTCCTCTGGAGGATGACACCACACTGGGGAGATTTATTTAAACAGTTCCAAGTTTGAATTCATTGCTTTAGTTATACATTGATTTTGACTGTAAATATGTGGCTTTTACTTCTGTGTTTTTATGTATACTGAGAGCATATGCACCAAAGACAAATTCCTTGTGTGTCCAATCACATTTGGCCAATAAAGAATTCTGTTCTGTTCTGTTCTGTTCTGTTCTGTTCTGTTCTGTTCTGTTCCATTCTATTCTATTCTATTCTATTCTATTCTATTCTATTCTATTCTATTCTATTCTATTCTATTCTATTCTATTCTATTCTATGCTATTCTAAGCATTCTGCCTTGGTGTAACAAGGACTTACAACATACCAACCTTGCTGTATTATGATGTGAGCAGAAATGATTTGAAAGAAAACAACATTGGGGAGAGGAGGAGATTTCTGGCACACAAGACTTGTCACTATCTGTATCTTTCAGGTATGACCAGCCTTTTACCCTTTTCCCTCTCACCCAGCAAGAGAAAGCCCTTAGGGCACCTTGTGGGTCAAGTTTGTCCTTCTTTTCCGCAGTTTCATGGATCCAGTTGTGGCAATGACATTAAATGCTCCTTTGGTGCAGTTTCTTCTCTTCCACTGTTGATCTGCAAAGAACCAGAAAGGAAATGCTTTAGTCATCATATAGTTATGGTTGTGCAAAGAGATTATCTTTGTCTTTAGCCTTGGAAGTTTTTTAACAAGTGCATTGAGGTAAGAAGTTATTTTATTGTTATTTTAAATGGTCAATGGTTGTAGGCTTTTTTTAAAAAAAAAATACAACTAGCTGCTAAATTTTGAAGTAGAGAAGGTCCTTCCAAGCTGGCCATTTCTTCTTGAATGGCTAATCTTTGTTTCGTTGCTTTTGATAGAGAACCCAGGACCCAAGTATGGATTCCTGCAGAGAGGGGGCTTCATGCACTGATAGGAAGATGATTTGGTCTCACATAGCTGTACTTGCAATAGAGTCTCTCTGATCTAGTTATCTAGATCAAGGGTCTCCAACCTTGGCAACTTTAAGACTTGTGGACTGCAACTCCTAGAATTCTAGGAGTTGCAGTCCACAAGTCTTAAAGTTGCCAAGGTTGGAGACCCCTAATCTAGAGGAGTTTAGCAATGAGCATGCTATTGGTGGACAGACATACTTGACATAGCCTTGCTCTCATTTTGGGGGTACAAACTTTGTTAAATAAGGCTTGAGTAGAACTCTTTCCATATGTAAAGCATATGCTAATTATCAAATGTAAAAAATAGTGTTTTATTTATACAGTTTTAGAGCTGTGGTGGCACAGTGCTTAGAAAGCAGTGTTGCAGACTAATTCTGCCTTCCACTGCCAGGAGTTCGATCCTGACCGACTCAAGGTTGACTCAGCCTTCCATCCTTCCAAGTTTGGTAAAATGAGGAGCCAGATTGTAGGAGGCAATATGCTGACTCTATAAACTGCTGAGAGAGAGCGCTATAAAGCACTACGAAGCAATATATAAGTCTACACGCTATTGCCATTTGTCCATGTTGCTTTCATCTTGATTTGGACTCAGTTGGGGATATAATGGAATTATGAACAAGAACCGTAAAAGGGCTGTTAAGGCTGATCAGGCTTTTGAATATGTTTTGATTTTGATTCTATGGTACCACTTTCCAATGATCTATCAAGCGAAGAGTTAGTAATTTCTCCTTCAATAATAGTAAGTGTTTCTTCTGCAAACAATGAGATGGGGATTTGCTCTCATTCAATTTATTTTATTTTATTAAAAAGAAAGAATAGCAAACATAGAGAGAACTTAGGTGCTATTTTACAGATATCCATTTTACACACCCCATTTTATAGCTGGCCAAGGAGATCCATAAACATCAAGCACCATGATACATATTTCAGACTTTCCCATGCTAATGCTCTTCGGTTACAATTTCCAGAGTTCCACTTCATCTAACGTATAGAAACTGAAATGTGGCTTCAGCTGTGGAGTACCAGGATAGAAATATTTGATAACAAACTTGTTCCTGGTTCCTAGAATGGGGAATGCTGAAATAATCCCAACTCAAAGAAGATAAAGGCTTTCAACCCCCATCCCTTTCTTTTGACAGATCTCAGGAAGCTTGATGGGGCAGGAATCTAGCCTGCTGCCTTTGCCCCATCATCAGAATCTCTTCCGGGTACCAGCAATGGGCAGCAAGGACCTTGGATTGCAAACCTAATTCTAAACTTGAAAACCTACTACATTTGCTTCAGTGTTACATTTCTCCTGCTTGGAATTATCTCTTTTTATCTTTTTATAATTTCTTGTTCTGACACTACGCAAATATCTTTCTCTGAAAAGTAACTCACTCAACTTGGGCCCAATTAAACTTTGATTTTTCGTTACCTTTCACTACAAAACTAACGGTCCAAACTGGCATCTCGTTTTAAGTACTGTCTTGCATTAAACCAAACTACCATATTCTCAATGCAGTCAAGATTTTCCTAGCAGTAATTCTGACAAAATGCAAGAACGCTATCCAAAATGGCCATTTTTAGAACATCAGCTCTAGTCACTTTCTCCAAGATAGGTCTGGTATCCAGGTCTTTGCAGGAGGAGAACATTGTCAAGGCTTCGTTACCTCACTTGCCACTTCCTCATTGTCCAGGGAGGTAGCAGTGAGCATGTTTTACAGCCAATCTGTGTGAGGGAGACGGGCGTTGGCAGTAAGTGCAGTCCATGAAGAAGCTCTCTGTTTCTGTGGGTTTTCCTCTCCTCCTTGTCTTTGATGATTAGTAATTGGCATACCATGCAAGCTAACAGGAGGTAGATATTTCTCAATTGATGGAGTTAATTCAATCCTGTGCATAGTTAGGGCTCAATGTAATTCCAGAGTGTGGATCAAACGAGCCTCCCATTGATCCAGATAAGCACTTGTGGGAACAAAGACACAGAATAGCAATAAATGGAACTTGCATTGGAGAAAGGCTCTGTTAAAGAAAACATTTATAAAAAATATTGGAGTGATGGAAGAATTACAGTAATGGTCCAGCATCGTTTTCAAAGCCATTGCAATGTGATACATGCACATATCTGGATCCCAGTCAATGTGCAATAAATCCCATTTTCACATTTTACAATCTGTTTGTTTATAGCGGATAGAAGAACTGGACTGGAAAAGGAGAATTATAAAGGAAGCTTAATATAATTCAGGAGACGGTAAGACGTTAACGGTCCAGAGGCAAATCAGGCTTTGGGTCTATAGGCCAAACTCATGCTTGATGAGCCACAATTGATGCAGACTGAGACTTTATAACAGGGATGCTCAGGTTTTTTTCTGATTCAAGAGCTATAGTTGCTCTTTAAATAGTACTGTATGTCAGAGGGAGGCCTCTTGTGAATGAAAGTAGAACAAATACTAAATTAGCTTAATTTTGTTTATATTTAAGCTAGAAAAAAATGAATTGGAGTTAATATGATTACCCTCCAGACATACATTTAATATATTTTTTTCCTTTTGTCACATTAAAAATTACAATTTGTTAAGACATTTTATAGATCTATGGTAACCAGCCATTTAGATGTTGACTTGGGACCTAAGAGCTATTCACATTGGAGGTTTCAGAACTGGCAGGCATTTCCTGGCCTTTGCTGCCAAGAAACCCTGATGATGCAGAGAATAAAATGCCTGTAGTTGGTTGCCAACATTCTTGGTGTGAAATCCTCAGATGGAAAACATATGCACTGTCCACCTACATTCTTTGGCAGATGCAATTTGGTAGTTTAGTCCTACATCTTCAATCCTGATTAGAGAATACCTTCTAACCAATTTACTTGCCACAAATGACTCTGTTGTGTTGTACCTATAAATCCAAGATTTGGAAAGTGTGCTGGAAAGGAATTCTAGGAGCTATAGTCTCAACACAAATGGGGAAGAAAGTTTCAGATGGCAAACAAGAATGCAAATTTATATGTATATGTCAAAATCCCAGCTTTGTCCTAATTACTCATGTTAAGAAGGACGAGCACATGGTTACTCATCTCCTGCACTGTTTCAAACACATCCTATGATTATAATACAAGGCTCTAAGCTCCATTCAAGCCTTGGTCCAATTATAAAATTGACAATGATTGAAATATTATATAATAAAGCTGAAAAATATACAAACCTACTTCATGTGCCACATGACCTGTTTTTTCTTGGAGTCCATCTGGAGGCATATGCAGCATAACCTGTTTCACACAAAATTAGTTCATAAAAACTCACAAGAATATTTTAGAGCTATTTTTAAAACTCCGTGATCTGTTCCTGCCTAAAATTACTCTGGAACCTTGCAATAACATACTGTTACATGAATTGCTTGAAAAGGTACCATACAAATAATAGAACCACTGAGCTGAAATGGATCCATTATTTTCCTGTTTTTCAAAAGACTGCAGATCCCATCAAGACATCTCAAATGTGCTTTCCCCCCCCCCTTCAAAAGGCATCTGGACTATGTTTTTTTCTTGAGGAAGAAATGTTTTTTTCCCCCTTGAAAAGGACATTTCGCTTCTCATCCAAGAAGCTTCATCAGTTCTGATGAACAAGGCGAATAAAAGAACTAAAGTATGCATGGGGTGGAGGTGGGATGTCTTATTAGTCTACTAGCCACTTCCAAAATTCCCTGACAGGACAGAATGTTCCAAAGGACAGGAGCCAGAGCAGACGTGGCTCTTCTCCTAGATCCTGCCAGCCGCTATTCCTTGGCTGATGGGATCTGGAGCATGTCTCTTCTACCAGACAAAGTAGGGCAAGTCAATGCAATCAAGCTGAGATGGCTCCTCATTCCTAAAAATGCTATTTAAAGGGGCTACTTAAAACCTATGATATGAAACCTGCACAAAAATCTGAATCATTTTTTCAAACAGTTGGAACATTTATATACATATGTGTGTGTGTGTTTTCTGAGGTTTTCGCGGGTGTTTGTATGTAGGTCTTTGGTTATTTGGGTTTTCTCCCGCGTAAAACAATTTTACGCGGGAGAAAACCCGAATAAACAAAGACCTACATATAGATAGATAGATATAGATATAGATATATAGATACACACACACACACACACACACACACACACACATATACATACATACACTGCTCAAAAAAATAAAAGGAACACAAGCAGAAGACATCCGAGATCTGAATGAATGAAATAGCCTTATTAAATAAGTTGTTTGTTACATACAGTAGTTTTGTGTTCCCTTTAGTTGTGTGAGCAGTGTATAAAACAGATTTGAAATAGTAATGGAAATAGTAACTGCAGTTGCTGCAGAAGACCTCTTGCATAAGCCTGATGATGGCAGATGAGATTCTCCTGAAACATTGCCAAAGTGCTCTCAATCTTACACGGGAGAAGACCAGAATACACCAAGACTTGCACACCTGTACCCATGAAAATCTACGAAAACAAATATATATATATATATATACATACACACACATATATATATACATACATATATATATACATACATACATACATACATATATATATATATATATATATATATATATATATATATATATATATATATATATATATATATAATTTATAATTATATATATATAATTTATTTATTTAATTTCTATAGTCTACCCAGCTCAACCAAGGTGACAGTTTTAACCAATTAAACCATGTAATTCTTGTTAATTTCTTTTGCATTTTTTTTTTTTGCATTTGTTAATAACAACAAAGCATAAATCAGGGGTGGGCAACTATGGCCCTTTTATGACTTGTGGACTTCAACTCCCAGAATTCCTGAGCCAGCCATGTTAGCCCACCTCTGGCATAAATAGTGATGGTGATACATACATTGCCAAAGATGAAAAAGGGAACACATAAAAAGTGTTTTAAACAAAAAATGTGATATATGACAAAGAAAAAAAAAATATTAGTAACAATTCTGTATATATTTGCCTAATGCAAATATTATTCAAACACATATATATATCTAATACAGGGGTGTCAAACTGGCGGCCCGCGGGCTGGATGCTTCATGCGCAAGCCACATCCACCCAGCTCTGCAAAGGGGGAAAACGTCACGATATGTCATGTGACGGCAATGTGATGCCACGAGTTTGACACCCGTGGTCTAATACATATAGATACAAACCATATAATTCTTATTATAAAAGAATATCATAAAATTTATCACCATAATTTTTACAATTGTCCCATCTGCATCTTACTTCAGAGTAGGTAGATACTCTGAACTTTACTTCCCTTTAGATTAATAACTCTGATAACAAAATATTGGGTGCGCTTGAAAATCTCACTGTGGAACTTTCAAAGCAAAGACTTTCCCCTCTCCTTCCTCCAACCTTCAGGGCCAAGAAGGGTTGTAGTTAGAAGCAGCATTCTGTACCTTAAAATTGGCTTCACAGTTTGGTCTTGTCCTAGATTCCACTGTACATTTCTAATTTGGAGAAAAGAACCAATAACTTGGTTAATGGCTAATAACTTTACTAAAATACTGTTTTTTAAAATACATTTATTACGATATATTTCTAACAGTGCAAAACTATTGTTACTTTAGATTACAAGAAGGTAACAGATTTTTAAAAAATATTTCCACCACTTGGTATTCAGAAGGTGATCTTCCAGAATATAAGAATATATAAGAATATAAATACCATATTGGTTGACCGAGTTCTTTTCCATGAATTTCTATACTCTGTTTTTAATGTATTATGATGTAATATCTTAATGTTATAAATGTTTTTAATGTTTTTTATCTTAATTCAGGAGAGGTTCATTATACTATTGGAGTCCAGTTCCCATCAATCTTGAACACCATAAACCATGGTCAGGATAACAAAATTGGACAACTACGGTCTGTTCATTGTATCTGTCCTATAAAGCTGGAAAATGGTATATACTTTCTATAGCTGTTGGTAGCCAGTTCTACACATTAACTGGCTGTGAAATGAAGTCCTCTTTTCTTTTGCCTGTACTATATGTCCTCTACTGGTCGACATAGGCCAAATTAGATAGTATGGCAAACAAATATATATGTCCCAGGACAATGTTGCAGGATCCAATCTGGATGGATCACTGGGACTAGAGGTTTAGTCTTCCAAGTTTTCGGACTTTGGAGGGCTTGATTTATTACCAGTTTATCAAGTATTTAGGAGGCAAGAGCTTGACAGCACAAGGAAATGACAGTCAGTGACTTAATAGCTGGCCAACAATAACTCAATCAATAACTCCAGATCAGTAACTAAAAAGCCACACACAACCAGGCACTGTATACATGCCACATACAGAATAGCACATACTCTGCTAGAGAGAAGTTTCTTGAAGATGGGTTCCAGCATGAGTCCAAAAGCTTGAAAGACTAAACCTCTGGTCCCTAGAATTCGGTCTCCCGATTTCTAGCTTGGTGTCTTAATCACTATACTAAACTGGGCCTCTGCCAGATAATACAAAATATTATTGTACTTCAGTATGTAACACTGAATGTAAAGAAATATGGTTTGTTTTATAAATTTTGAGGAGTATTATATGTTTCATATATTACCAAATATGTTAACTTAAGGGGGAAATTTAAGGACAGGAAAATAAACTATTTACCATGAATCTGTCTCCGAGTCCCTCCATATAGTCTGGAAACTTGGTAAAATCCATTAGAGTTGACGTCTAAACAAAATTAGGGAGGGGAAAAACCTTGCTGAAGGATGACCTTCTACCAGATTCCCATATCCCAAGTGATGGTGATTTCTATAGCCTTGTCATGTTTTCATCCATTATTGCACATAGCTGGAAGTTAACCACTGAAAACCAATGGCCTTATTGTCTACTTGTGCCTTTCTTACACCAAAGAGGGGTTTGGAGAAGCCAAATACCTGAAAGAGGTTTTAATGTTACTCCCACACATTGTGGCTACAGAATCGGCCCAAAATAGCTTGTAGGTCCTAAACAGGTCATGTTTTGTAATTGTGTAGAGGGGATAAAAGCAGAAAAGCTTTTCCTCTCAAGTTTTCATGGAGCCTGATCATACTCAGGAAAGAAAGTAACTGGCAACAGGTGTAGTGAGAAAGACACGAAAAACAAGTTGGAGCAGAATTGCAGGAGTTGGAGGGAAAGACAAGCACTTTCCTGCTGTGGCTTCTATACTTCAATTTTATGCTCTTCCAAAACTTTTTTGGGTGTGTGAAAAAGGAGCTGGCTATTAGTAACACCTAGTTTACACTAACACTCCATTTTTTTTGCAGAGAATGAAGCAAATTGTCTCCCAGATGAGTTAACCTAACTCCTATCTATCTACTAAACTGTGAATGGTAAACTAATGTATTCATATCAGAATCATTCCAACTAGAATGAGCCTACCTTTCAGTTAACTTTATGACACTCCAAACTCAAGACAATGTATCTAACTTGCAAGACAATCAGGCATCTAAATGCAAGCAAGGTATCTAACAAGACAATCATTCCATGTCGTGTTATAGTTGTTGCTATAACAGCATATGCTATGGAATATTCTCTATTATGACATCACTCAATATGAAGTTACCCTCCTAAGAATATCAGTATTTTGTAAGAAAATCATTTGAAAACTACTAACAAAAATATGAAGCATGTATCAGGGCAAGGAGTTGTAATTATGGCCTCTGAATACAGTATTTCCCATTTTCCCTAATCACTTCACTAAGGGTTTACAATAGAAATGTAAAAGTAATACATGCTGCATATTCTTAAACTGGGCCAAATTCCTTAGCTTTCTGGTCAAGGTGCGCTAACAATTTTCAATATTATATATGCACTTCAGCCATTTTAGAAGACACTTTTGCATTGATTTAATAATGTAAGATTTATTCTGATGTTTTACTTAACTCAACCCTGTTAAAGTATCACTTTGATAACTTTGAGCAGTGATTTATACAGTTGCAAATTCCTGTCATGTAGCAATGAAGCCATTTGGGAACAGTCCCCATTAGGACCACAATGAAATGTTAATATTGAACATTATTTAATAATATATTTGATTTCTGGTCAGGGACTGGCTTGGTTTAAACCATTTCAAATTTTAACTGCCAGAAAAGTAGAATGCATGAAAGGACTTGGCATGGTAGATTTGTGAAAAAGCATGGTACAAATGCATATGATGCAAAGAATTTAAATGAAACCATATTTTTTTCTATTAGGATTTATAGCCAATTAGAAAAGACCCGTAAGATTAGATTTGGAAAAGCAAAGCTACTTTTTGTGCAAAGCTGGAAAAACAGCTTTATTATCCACAATGGACTATGACAAAACCAGCAAAAACAAAAATAGGATGTTTGATCATGGATACAACTGTGTGTTGGGTTACCTTTATGGACATTTACTGAAATTGGGAAAAATGGCTTGGTATCTGGAATGGTTGACTGAAAAGGGTTGAATATGGGAAATGAATTGTGATGCTGGGGAAGGAGTGACATGTAAACTGCTATAACATTTTATCTATCATACTTTTTCTCAATTTTCTTTTTTATTTTTCATGCTAAACTTGTTAAAAATTCTATGGTAGTAAAATATAATACTGTCATCACGCATAGCCAGCAGTTGCACTAGTGCTACCAGCTTTCATGTAAACTATCAGAAAGGAATTTAGGTCCCCTTATCCTGCCAGTAACCAGTTCTGTTGGCTGCTTTGCCAAGGCTTGTACAGTAGGTAAATGAACTACATGAAGCACATTTTAGAAGAATTGTTATTAATCTATGATGGCAAAAAAAGTCAGGAATCTGTTAGAGTTATAGATTCACTATAAGGTACTAAGTAAAATTCATTTTATTTTGGAAAATAAAGCACAGCAACTTATTCTCACTAGCTACTGCAAGGTTGAAGATTTGAGTCCAGGACAAAAAAATAAGAGGGGGGGGGAAAATCACACAATATTTCTTACATGGATCAATAAATAACTTAAGATCATTGAATTATTGGAACTTTGTAATGCCACTTGGAATACTGATCTAGTTTTGGTTGCCACAATATAAAAAGAACAGTAAGGGAACTGGAGGCTAAAACATGAATGGTTGCAGGAATCGGGTATGCCTAGTCTTCTGAAAAGGAAAACTAGCAGTATTCCAAAATCTTAAGGGGCTGCCACAAAGAAGAACCTCTTCTCCAAAGCACCTGAAGGCAGGACAAGCAATGGATGGAAACTAATCAAGGAGAAGTGCAACCTAAGAACTAAGAAGAAACTTTCTGACAGAACAATTAATCAGTGGAACAACTTGCTTTCAGAAGTTGTGGGTACTAAATCACTGGAGGTTTTGAAGAGACCGGACAGCCATTTGTCTGAAATGGTGTTGGGATTTCCTACTTGAGCAGGAGGTTGGACTAGAAGACTCCAAAGGTCCCTTCCAACTCAGTTACTCTTAAATAATAAATAAATTTACCTATGTCTGTTTTGAGGTACCAGAAGTATTTTTAGAATATTTTCCTGACTTTTTTAGGAAGCGAATTCTGGATTCCTTTACAAGGTATTATCTTCCACTCTTATTTTAAATGAGATGCAGTTAGTTAGCCCTAATAAAAAAGCACTAGTTATTAAATACATAAATAATAGTCATTTGTCTCAAGTTCATTTTGAACATTTTTATTTCTACTAGATAGTTCCAGAGTAGAACCATACATGCAAAACTGCATTAGACACAATAGATTTACAGTAGATTCTATTCTATGTTAAGTGTGGAATTTAGAATCTTTTTTTTTACAGTATAAAAAACTAAACATCAACAGGTTGGAATTCTGATTTTAAATATTCCACAATATTCAGTTCCAAATACCTAGTTACCAGGTACTGTATGATACAGGTGTTCAATTGTGTAACTTCAGAGACTTAACCATAACATTTGCAGAACTGGATTTCCCACTTACTCCCTTTTTCTGTCCACTAGCACAAAATCCTGCCATAAACTACCCAAATATTTATTTGCCAATGTACAGAGTTATATATCAAGAAAGGACATTCCCTCAATGGCATCCCACATTACCTAAAAAAGCAAATGTAACAAAAATAAAAGAATAACATCTTCAAAAAAATAAATATAAAGAGGGAATGCAGACAAGTGTCATGAATTTTTCAGCAGGTTAACATTCATAATATACAAAACATAACTTATTCAAAGCCAAGGATAAAGGGAATATCCACATTTCTTTCAGGTAATTGGGTATTTAATCCACTTCTTCCATACGTGAAGTGTCATCATCTCCTTCCAGTGGTGGCATTTCTTCGGTTACTGCTGGGCTTGCTTCCTCGGTAGTAGCATCATCTTCATCTATGCCTGTATAAAGTGAACACAATTATTAACTTTTCCCCATGGAAGTATCTCCCAGCACACTCGTAAGACATCCTAATTTTTACTAATATTAACTTACCGAGACCAAGTTTTATCATTCTATAGATACGGTTGGCATGTGTCTGTGGGTCCTCTAGACTGAAGCCAGAAGACAAAAGTGCTGTCTCGTACAGAAGAATGACCAGATCCTTCACCGACTTGTCATTCTTGTCTGCTTCTGCCTTCTGTCTCAGTGTTTCAATGATAGAGTGGTCAGGATTTATCTCCAAATGTTTCTTTGCAGCCATGTAACCCATTGTGGAGTTGTCCCTGAGAGCCTGGGCTTTCATGATCCTCTCCATGTTTGCAGTCCAGCCATATGTACTGGTTACAATGCAGCATGGAGAAGTAACCAGTCGGTTGGAAACTACAACCTACAAGAATTAAGAGTATTTAAATCAGAGAAAAGCCCAACCACTATAGAAAGAAACAATTAGTTCACTTCCTTTTAAAAAAAAACTATTTCAATTTTGAAAAAAACCTCAGTTGCTTCTTGACTAATCCATATAGCATACTGAATTTGTCAAAGATAGCATGTTGTTTTATAAAGGGGCTGTCAGCAAAAACTTCTATTCACTTACAGCAGGGACTTAAATATACATACCTTCTCTACTTTCTTTTCAAGTATATCTTTCATGATCTTGCAGAGACTTTCAAATTTGGCTTTCTTCTCCTCCTGTTTCTTTTTCTCTTCTTCGTCTTCAGGAAGCTCCAGACCTTCTTTTGTTACTGACACCAAAGTCTTCCCCTCAAATTCTTTCAACTGTTGTACACAATATTCATCAATAGGTTCAATCATATAAATTACTTCCAAGCCATGTTTACGAAGTCGCTCCACAAATGCAGAATTAGCCACCTGATCTTTTGTTTCACCTAAAAGAAAAATTTACCTTCAGCAAAGTTCAACAGAATAACCAATTTATGTATCAACTTTTAATGTGAATCTGCCCAACAACTATGATCATGATAACCTAAGTGGAGACACTTAGTCAAAAATAAAGCTCTACAAGAGCTATGGCAGTGCAGTGGTTAGAATGGAGTATTGCAGGCTAACTCTGCTCACTGCCACGAGTTTGATTCTCATAAGCTCAAGGTTGACTCAGCCTTCCATCCTTCTGAGGTGAGTAAAGTGAGGACCAAAATGTTGGGGGCAATAGGCCAACTCTGTAAACCGCTTTTACCTACCGAAGAGGGCTGTAAAGCAGTATAGAAGTCTAAGTTCTAGTGCTATTCCTCATTTAGCAACCATAAGCGTAGTTGCTAAGCATGACTGTTCATGATCTTACTTCAAGTTTCCTTTGCTTTAGAGATTTGCAAACATTATTTTTTCATCGTAATGACAAACAGTTGCTAAAAGAGGACTACCTGTAAACATTATGATCCCAGTTAAACTCCAATCAGAAGTAGAAATGAGATGATCTGAAGGTACTCACCAGTAATGTAATACACATGCTTCTGATTTTCCTTCATCCGAGTGCAGTAATCCTTTAGTGATACCATCTCATCCCCAGAGGCAGAAGTGTAGTATCTTAATAACTCTGACAATTTCTTGCGGTTTTGGGAATCTTCATGAATGCCAAGCTACAAGAAAGTTCCATTTTTGTAAGCTGCATGCAAACATTTATGGCAAAATTTAAGTAAATATTCCAAACCAACAAACCTTAATATTTTTGGAAAACTGCTCATAGAATTTTTTGTAGTTTTCTTTATCTTCTGCCAGCTCAGTGAAGAGTTCTAAACATTTCTTGACCAAATTCTTTCGAATCACTTTCAGGATTTTGCTCTGCTGAAGCATTTCACGTGAGATATTCAGAGGTAAGTCTTCTGAATCAACAACACCTCTCATGAAGTCTGTAAATAACATTAAATTATAACCATGTTTTTATTTCTCAGGGTAGCTTAGAAAACCTCTTAAGATACACAGGTTTGTAAGGTAAACTTGAAAAACTCACTTAGGATATTAAAGTGGAACAAGTTTTCCATTATAATAAAATGCAAACTTCCCTTTCAGAAAATTTCCTGCCTTCATTCCATTATCTTGTCAATAGTGTTATGCTTTCCCCTTCTAGAAAGAGAATACTGACTCAATTTAAGTTTTATGTTTGTGCTGATTTTTTCAAATAGCTGCTGCATTTAACTAGATTAACTATGACCTGACAGGCCCTCTACTTTAAGCACGAAGAGTAACTATTTTTGACCTTGTAGCAATCTGCAACTTTTAACAGATAACAAACTACTTACTCAAATATTCAGGGATTAACTCTTCACAATTATCCATGATAAACACTCTGCGTACATATAACTTGATGTTATTCTTTTTCTTTCTGTTTTCAAATAAGTCAAAAGGTGCACGCCTTGGGACAAACAAGAGTGCTCTAAATTCAAGCTGTCCTTCCACAGAGAAGTGCTGCAACATAAAGGAAATTAATTAGCAAAAATCTTTGGCATAAAATATCAAATACTGTTATAAAATAAAATTTACATCAAAGGAATCAATTATTTGAATTTTACAGTAATAGTATCAGATGGAAAAGGTTCTTCTAAATTTATGTTTAAACAATGGGGACTATTTCCATATTATTTTAAAGTGTTTACTTAGAAAAAGGGTCAATATATTTTAAACACAAGCCACTTTATATTTTGATATACCACCAGTTTTGTCAGTTTGAGTTTCACCTAAAATTCATATAAAGAACAAATAGCCCATTCCCAAAAGAATAAATAATCTTACTTTGACTGCTAAGTGATCTTCCCAGTCATTAGTCAGGCTCTTGTAGAATTCACCATATTCCTCATTAGTAATATCATCTGGGTTTCTGGTCCAAATTGGTTTGGTCTTGTTCAGCTCTTCTTGGTCAATGTACTTCTCCCTGATTTTCTTCTTCTTTTTCTTGTCTCCATCCTTCTTTTCTTCTTCCTCATCAGAACCAACATCTTCAATCTCTGGTTTATCTTCAGGCTTTTCTTCTTTTTCTTCTTTCTCTTCCTCTTTTTCTTCTGCCTCATCATCACTCACCTCTTTGTCACGCTCTTTTTCTACCTATATTACGCATATAAAAACAGAAAAAGGTGAGCCTGATAGAGCAAATCGAATAAACTATTTTCTGAAAGTTAATCTACTGATAAATATAAACAGGCAAAATTATGCATAAACTCCATGAAAATCCTTTGTTCATATTAAATGCTTACTATATCACATTATGAATTTAATTTGCTTCTAGTATTGCTAATGTAACCTAAATGTAGGACAGTTGTCAAATTGCTCCAATTAAGTACATTAGCCTCTATGCAGTTAAATTTAAAACTATCATGACCACCTTCAGAGCAATTCTTCATTTAGGTAAATACAAAGGTTCAGATACTATTTTATTGAGAACAAGTTACTCACAAACAGTGTTATTGGATAGCCAATGAACTGGGAATGTTTCTTGACTATTTCCTTAATTCGTCTTTCTTCCAAGTATTCAGTCTGGTCTTCTTTCAGATGCAGAATAACCTTTGTACCACGACCTAGAGGCTCACCTGTAAAATAAATTATTCTTAATCACCGTTTCACCAAAAGATCCATAAAACAAGGGATCAATTAAAAAAAAAAAAAGAACATTACTGGTTCAAGACATACACTAATCTAGATTATGGCAATAGCAAAAATATCTGGTTTTTAATGCTGCATTATTCATAGCACTATTCTTTTGATGTATACAGTAAGGTTTCCTATTAGATTTAAGCAATTATTATAGGATATAAATTTAGTAACAAATTATTGTTTCCCCATTACTTCTCTCAATGCTTTCAAACCTGACCCGACAGCTGCAGTTTGGATTTCCCCCCTTAATGTTAATCCTTAAATTACATTTATTGTAATTGGACTCTTACCATTGTCCAATCTGACGGTGAATGATCCACCAGCTGAAGATTCCCAGGCATACTGTTCATCATCATTGTGCTTGGCAATCACTGTCACTTTTTCAGCCACCAAGTATGCAGAATAGAAGCCAACACCAAATTGGCCAATCATAGAAATATCTGCTCCAGCCTGCAAAGCCTCCATAAAAGCCTTGGTGCCAGACTTGGCAATGGTACCCAGGTTATTTATTAAGTCAGCTTTGGTCATCCCAATGCCAGTATCCACAAGAGTTAAAGTACGGTCCTGTTTGTTAGGAGTAAGACTTATCTTCAATTCCTTTCCAGAATCCAATTTGCTTGGGTCTGTCAAACTTTCATACCTGATTTTGTCAAGAGCCTGCAAAACATCAGACAGCCATTGAAAATAATAATAATAATGATGATGATGATAGTATTCTCTAGATCTTTAGAAATTGTACTTACATCAGAGGAATTAGAAATCAGCTCCCTGAGAAAAATTTCCTTGTTGGAGTAAAAGGTATTGATAATCAGAGACATCAACTGAGCAATTTCTGCCTGGAAGGCAAAGGTCTCCACCTCCTCCTCCATTGGTTGATCCTGTGTCTGTACTTCCTCTGGCATCTGTCAAAAAAGGAAAGCAAAAATTGCTTTTTTAACAGGTTAACATATTGCATTGCATAACATAGAAATATTATTTCTCACATAGATTTAAAAGCAGTTAAAATAGTTTGGACAGTGGGGAAAAATGTAGTTTCAGTATCCGCTTCGATAAAAATGAAGCACGTGGGTTGAGAGCATACTATTAGGCTTATGGCTGTTGAACTGAAACATTTGGGTAGACAAGACCTGGAACAAGTTCCATTTTACAAGTTATTGGCAAGATGGGAGCGTTTACGCTGGAAACGGCACAAAAACGAAAGGAAAAATGACTTGCTTCATATGCCAGTCAGTATAAAGAAATGTCCGGTCCCTTGGTTTAACCCACCCACAAAGTAAACTGAAGGCTCAGGCGAGAAGCCTCGAGGATTCCACAGCCAACCTCTGCGCCACCTGCTGGCGGCCGAGCCAAACGAGTAAGAATTCTAGAAATTGCTAGAGTCTTCTTGCTCCCACACATCCGTTTGCCCCCCCCCCCTCCCTCCCTCTCCCCCCCCCCCCCCCATACGCCGCCAGGAGCCAATTCTCTCGTCGACGCGGAGGCTGGTAGGTCGCGCGCCGCCAAACTCAGGAGAGCAGCTCCTCTCGCTCTCTCGTCAGCCTTCCCTCTCCCCCACGACAGCCGCTTTCCTGGCGGAGAACATTCGTGGTCCTCCCCTCTCCTCCCCACTCCAGGCGGCCATGCAAGCTCTTCCATTCATTCCTCCGTCCCACATTGCTTCTCCTTGTTCACCCGACCCCCTTTCGCTTCCTTTGTAAGCAAACCTTGTCAGGAAAGCAGCAAGGTCGCTCCTCATGCACCTTCTTTTTTAAATAAAGTAACTTGTCTTAAGTCTTCCCCGCATAGCGACCGCCTCGTTCCCGTTTTCCCCAACCCGTCGTCGGTCGGTCCCGTGAGGCGTGAGGGCCAAAGCGGCCACTCCGTCTGGCTTTTTTAGGTCTCGCTGTTCGGTTTCCCTCAGCTGTTTTAAGGCCCAAAGTAAACCCGGCGTCCTTGGGGCTCTCGCCGCCTCTAGCCTTTCCCCCCGGCCTTCTTGAGGGAAAGGCAGCTCTACTTTATGAGGGGGGTGGGGTGGGGGAAACCCTGGGCTTGAGCGTCCTCACCTTAACGGTGTGAAATCACCAAGCTGCACGACCGTTCGCCGAAAGAATCCGCACCTCCCTAACTCTTCACCAGCTGCACTGCGCGAAGCCCCCGCCTCCCGCGCGCCTTATATACCCGCGCCGCCGCCTCTTTCCAGAACCATCGGGAACCTTCACTGACAGGGAAGGGAGGGGGGGGCGGAGAGAAGGGCGGGCCTTCTTTCGAACTTTCTCCAGCGAAAGAAGGGGGAGGAGCCAAACGAAAGAGTGGGTGGGAAAAGGGGCCTCGGTGACAGCCTACGTACAACGTCAGTTCAATTTCTTAGTCTTTATGCGCGAGGGTGCTCGCGCTCCCTGTACTGGACAGTCCGGAGCTTTCTCCACCTGACGATTTAAGTATGCACCGGTCTACCCCCTCCCGCGATCTGGCAGTGCGAGTGCTTTTTTTTTTTTTTTTTTTCCCTCGCTGCCGTTCTTAGGGAAAAAAACAGCGCATGCGTGAATGCTAACCGCTTGCGTTCTCTATGCCGGCTCCCTGGCCATTGATTGGCGCCTATTCAAGGCGGGAGGCTTGGCAAGGGAAGGAAACTCGGCAAGATGACATAATGACATCATCATCACCGCTGCTCAGATCAATCTCGCTGGCCCCGCCCACTTGGACCCTGGTGGGCGGGGGAGGAAGGATTAAACTTTCCGTTTTTTTCCAGAATGACCTTCCCTGCTTAGAAGGGATTGACGTTTCCTTTCTCCCCACCCACCCTTCGGATCCCTCTAGAATTTTCTAGACCAGGGGTCTCCAACCTTGGCAACTTTAAGCCTGACGGACTTCAACTCCCAGAATTTCCCAGCCAGGTTGCTAAGGTTGAAGACCTCTAGTCTAGATTAGCTTTTTTTTTTTTAATTTGATTTATATGCCGCCCTTCTCCGGAGACTCAGGGCGGCTTACAATGCGCTAAGCAATAGCCTTCATACTTTTGTATATTTATATAAAGTCAGCTTATTGCCCCCACAAACTGGGTCCTCATTTCACCTACCTTAGAAAGGATGGAAGGCTGAGTCAACCTTGAGCCTTGGAGAGATTCGAACCAGCAGTAAATTGCAGGCAGCTGTGTTAATAACAGGGTATTTGAAGCCGTGGTGGCGTTTTTTCCCAGCAACTTGAAAATTAGCCTTTTCTTTTAGATGTCTGGCTTCGGTGGGACTTTCTCCAGCCCAATCGATTGCCCTAAACTTCAATCATTTACTTAGGAAAGAGTACAGCTAGTCCTCGACTTACAGCAGTTCATTTAGTGACCGTTCAAAGTTACAAGGTGCTGAAAAAAACAATGACTTATGACCTGTAAGAAGAAATATCCTTCTGGGTTCAACTCCAAGTGGGGAAAAAGACCCTGGAAACATGGAGACTGCTTGGAAAGATGGTTTAATGGTGGACAGGATCACATGGTTTGAGTTCCTGAACAGAAAAGGGGCGAGATGCTGCGAGTCCCCGGGTTTTATGCCCTCTCTGGCTTTGGACTTCCTGGGGCCCAGAAAAAGTATCCTGATTGGTTGTCAGACTCTCAGGGGGTGGGGGTCTTAGCTGGCCTTGCTGGCTGATGTAATCTTCCCAGGTGCCATGTGGTGAGTTTCTGTTGCTAGATGGGTCCTATTGTGTTGCAGATGATGGTCCATTGACAAAGATTGAGTTTCTGCCTCTGGCCCATTGACAAAGGGTGAGGGTAGGAAGATGGGAGCTGCTTCGTCTTTAAAACATGCTTCTCCATTTCTCATACAGGGAAACATAATATTCTGCCTTTTTAATATTTCCTAAAATATTTCATTCTTCTAGGAAAGGGGTGGATGCTAACTTCCTACAGACCATTTTTCACACTTACAACCAGTGGTGGGTTGCTACCAGTTTGCCCTGGATTGCGTGCGTCCACAAGCGAACCAGTAGCGACAGGATTTGAATCCCACTACTGCTTACAACCTTTGTGGCAGCCCCATGGTCACGTGATTTATATACAAATACTTGACAAGTGGTTCATATTTATGACGGTTGCGGTGTCCCGGGGTCATGTGATCACCTTTTGTGACCTGACAAGAGAAGTCAATGGGAAAGCCAGGTTTGCTTAACAACGGTTTACTAATTTAACAACTACAGTGATTCACTTAACAAAGTGGCAAGAAAAGTCGTAAAATCGGGCAAAGCTCACTTAACAAATTTCTCACTTAGCAACCTAAATTCTGGGCTCAGTTGTGGTCGTAAGTCGAGGACTACCTGTATTGTATGCTTTTGTCCAAACTGGCTAGAGAAACAAATTAAGAAAAGCTACTCTAGGGACTTTTCTTAACCTGGCATGGTGGGAGTTCTTACCTGGCCTTTAAGGCTTCATTATTAACTTTTTAATACAGGTGATATTAGCATTTTTTAGCAAGGCATCTGTGGTTTGTTTTGAAGTTTAGGAAACCAGGATTTTATTAGTCAAAACCATTTCCTTTGATGTGCAAAAACTAACCTATTTATATAGGGAATATATTCTGGAGTCTTTTAGGGTTGCAAGTGTTAAAAGAAACATGTTTGGATTGGAAAAGAGTAAATGCAATATATTTTAAAGGTATTTGTTTTTTCTCATATCTAATCAATGTCTTTTGTTACTTAATTTGTTGCTTTGACACATTCTATTCACACAGACTGAGTTCAAGCTAGATTAGACCTGGCCAGTTTATAATTCAGTGTGTTGTTGAACCTCAATTTAGGAAAAACAATGCTAATCAACTAGTGAATGGATGATGTAGCTGCTCCTTTCAACACCCAGGTACTGCATCACTGAGAAAATTCAAGTAAGAAGTGAGGTACCTGTTTACAATTTCTAAGCAGCACCATAGGCTCACTTTTGGTCACAGAGAGGATAATCAGGAGAGGAACATCTGTTGCTTTTCTTTCATGACTCCTCAGGGAAGGACTATTAAGACCATCTGCAGAATGGGGATTCCAAGGAGCTTCCTGGCTAGAAATGGTATTTCCTTCATGTTGTTCAAATATTTATTGCAAAATAAGGGACTGAAGGAGAGATTACTGTTTATTGTTTTATGATATACCAGACAAAAACTAGAAAAGAACATGTCACCCTTATCAAATGCAATAAGCATAAAAAAAAATGAAAATTGTACTTGAGATATCTTTTTTTCTAAAATATTGTGCAATTCTCTTGTTCCCCTTCAAAAACAAATTGTGTTGAATTTAAAGTGGCTTACTTCATTGGCAAATAAATATAGATTTGTAGGCTTACTACTCCATTTGCCCTACCAAAAATTTTATTTTACATAGGAAACCATCAGAATAAACCGAAAGAATTATTCCTTTTTCCTTTTTTAACTGAATACTAAATTTAGAAAGGTATTAATAAACTGTCTTATAGAAATTTTGAATTTTGATTCACCTACAATGGATGGTAGTAACTCTTCAGGATTTCATAATGTTAGCAAAATTCCTAGGCTCATGCCTCAGCATTCATAGTTTCCAATGAAACAGACCAAGACAGGAAGATCATTTTATTACTATTTATTCAGAATGTTCTGATTAAAAAGGATTCCTCTCATTCAGAGGGAACTTGATCCTCAGCTCTCAGTTCTTCTTATAGTTAACACATCAAAGAAAATGCAAGAGAAACATTGATTGGACAGGACAAAAGTAACCTCTCCTTTGTATAGTAAATAAGCTACACAGAGTCAAACAGGAATTAAATATATTACATATGAAAAACAATATGTCAATTTAAATGAGATCTGACAAAAGGGTGTTAAATTTAAGATGCTAATGAAGAAAAACAATTATAAGTTTGTTTGGAGTTCACTGAGAGACAAACCAGATGCCAATTATTGCTGACAAACTTTCTTTTATCAGAAGTCAGACTCCAGAAATCCCGTCCTATCCTGACCTGAGGGACAAACACTGTTTTTTGATGTTTAGAAATGTTAGAAGCTATCAATCAAACTATTAACATCTTTTTAAAAGAGAGAAAAATAAGTCACATAAAATACAAAATAACTATGTTAGCAAGTACAACAATACTACAAAGTCCATGTTGTTGATACTACAAATTATCTCTTGGGTGGCCCTCTAGAGAGACTTCCACCACCCACCACCCACCACTTCTATCTGGAGATGCCAAAAATTACATATGAGATCATTTGTATGCAATGTTCACCTCTGAGTAGTCTGTCTTTGCTCTTAGGGATTCCAATCCTAACAAGAAATGGGATATGAAACTACATTAGTGCAACCGTGTTGGCTTTTCCTAATAATTTATATCCCTAATTCTCATTGTAAGAGATCTACATGTGGATTTCAAAGACAATTCACTGTATGTAGAATTTCAAGCACACCTTATGTGTATATGTTATGTGTGACTCTTACTTTATTCTACATATGTATTATAGGAAATCAGCAATCTGTTAAACTTCCCGATGCATGAATACGGATGAATGCTTGTTTGGAACATATCCTGTGTATGTATACTGCTACGTGGAGATACTATATAAAACTTACATAAATCAACCCCAAAGAATCAGCCCCAACAGAAAGGGAACTGAAAAAAGTACAGTATGTTCTTGAAATTGCTGCACTGCTTTGAAATTCATTCAGACTCAGCATTATTTGCTATATCTAAAGCTGCCAGACAAAAACATCAGAAATAATGAGATGTGTGGAGCCAAAGTGTCTAGAACAATATATATATATATATATATATGTATGTGTGTGTGTGTGCGTATAATTTATATATATAAAAGCCACAGATCTTCTAATGAATGTTTTCCTGGGTAGGGAATGGCAGCAGTGATAAAACTTGAAACCCTTTTTAGCTGATGTGATGTGTTAGGGGAGAATTAGATGGGATGCAAAACTGCCATGGATATGTTTGGTATCAAAATCTGGTTCCTACCGTTCCTATAACATATAAATAAATAATATGCATGCCTTGTCTCATTTGGCCCAACTGGCAGAGTATTGTCGCAAAAAGAATTAAAAAGTAATAGGGAAGCAAAGCCAAAGTTTGTATAGGGTAGTTATTTTAACTAGTCACCTCTAGGCAAGATGGGCAGCATATACAGTAAGTCTACTAAATAAATAAATTTGCAGGCGTGCCTAATTTTTGATAGTATGGTAGATTAGATCACTATTTTTCAACCTTGTCAGCTTTAAGATGCATGGATTTCAATTCCTAGAATTCTCCAATCAGCTAGCTGGATTAGGGTTAGACAATATCAATATGAGCTACTATTTTGTTGGGGTGAAGGTGTTGGATTAGGTGGGGATATCCAGGTCCATGGAAATGTACTTGGTTGTGGGGTCAGTTCACTTTTTCTCAGCCAGCATTACTGTTTTGGGCATCTAAGGTAAAGGATCTCCTGCACATGCGTGCTAATTGTTTCCGGCTCTAGGGGTGGTGCTCATCTCCATTTCAAAGCTGAAGAGCCAGCGCTGTCCGAAGATATGTCCGTGGTCATGTGGCCGGCATGACTAAACGCTGAAGGTGCATGGAGCGCTGTTACCTTCTGATCAAAATGGTCCCTATTTTTCTACTTGCACTTTTTTACGTGCTTTTGAACTGCTAGGCTGGAAGAAGCTGGGACAAGTAATGTCACTCTGTTATGCCGCGCTAGGGATTCGAACCACTGAACTGCCAACCTTCTGATCGACGAGCTCAGCGTCTTAGCCTCTGAGCCACCGCGTCCCGTTTGGGCATCTAGAAGCCCTCAAACTATACATCTTTATTCAAAAGGAAACTTGAATAGCTACATAATTGCAAGCCTTTAAATAGTTATTGAAGACATGCATTTTCTTGGTAAATATATGCTGGTAGTGTTAATTGATCTAGTTTTAAATTATTTCATTAGCTGAAATTATACTGGACTATTAGAAATTGGTACTTTGTCTTTTCTATCCTTTGTCTTTCATATACTTCTATTATTTTGCTCTTTTAACTCTGTTTAATGGTTTTTGGTATTTATTGTGCTTTCTTTTTATACAACAGAGTCTTGTGAATCTTGAGTCACAAATCCATAATATAACCTTTTTGGAGAAGTGGATCTGAACTGATTTCTGCACAGCCCTTTGAGAATTGTACAAATGGATAAAAATGGTGGTGAGTGGTGTAAGGCCAGAAAATACACACACGTTCTCACTCCTATACTTTTCTCTCCCTCCCCAATCCAAAGTAGCTATTTGGGCATCATAGTTTCATATTATTATTCACTCTCCCACACATACTGTATTTCTAATACTCTCAGATTCTCACTCATATAAAAAACATACTGTCTCACATCATGCCATCAGTATGCTGATCAATATGGTTGTTTCCCACTGCTAATAATAGAAAACAACAATGTTTTTTGAAGCTTTCTTATAATCATAAAATATAAGGGTTTGTAAGATATTTTGGAGATGATTTAGTACAATACTGTGCCCGGAATATGGATTGTATGCTATGGAATCTGGATAGATAACCATCTGGTTATTGTCTAAACACCTACCGCAAAGGAGCGTTTACTAGTTCTCTTTCAGATTTCCAGATAAAATTTGTTTCCTTGTATTTTAAGTCCATTATTTTTATCTTCTGGATGAACTCTAGTCTGTGTTCCACATGACAGCCCTCAGGTGACTTTAACTATATATACAGGGTTGAAATTCAGCTGGTTCTATCCAGCCCAGGTGAACTGGTAGCGGCAGTTGTGGGAGGCTCCGCCCTCCCGTGCAGATATCATGAAGTTGCTTTTTTGCAACAATTTTAAGTTTCTGCGCATTCACAGAAGGCTTTGCGCATGCACGGATGACGGATGTGCAGTGTGTGCACATTTGCAAACGGGTAGGGAAGGTAAGTGAATTTCACCACTGAATTATACCCAGTATTCAACTATACCCCAGCAATCCAACTAATGCAGAATACAGGATCAATCTTTCTCTTGGATTTGACCCTACTGCTGTTGATACAGTGTAGGATTGCATTTGCTTTTTTTTGCCACTGTACCATATTGTAAACTCATGTTTACTTTGTGATGTTTGATTGGAAAATGGATATGAAATATCCCATAATATTATAAACTTGTAATAATGTACTAGAATTTTTAGTTGCACATTTTAGATTTGTTGGCTGTCTAAGTGTTGATGCTTTTTAATCAGGACAATCTGGTTCCGCTTTCGCCTTTCAGCCTCAATCCAGGAGCTTTTGCAGGCAGTCGCTTTCATGACAAACTATTTTTTGTGTTAAATTTATATTTACCAACAAATAAATAAAGGGGAGACTGGTATAGATCTCTATTTAGCTCTTATCAGCTAGCCATACGCTTCTGGGATTCAAACGTGGGCTGCTTACATATTAGGCAGATGTATTAACCTCTAAGCCACAGGCTCTCCTAGCTTTGTTAGCTATACTAGGGGAGAGATTAAATATTTTTTGCTTTTATCAGGGCAACCTGGTCTACCCAAATATGGGACAGAGCATACTGCTTCTGCTTGGCTGTCTAAGTTTTAGTATTTATTTACATATATTAACTATTTTTATATTCATTTACATTTGTTTACATTTTCTTTTTCAGTTTATATGACAACAATAATAATTGATGGATGCTTTCAATACTCTTCACAGGAGTCCTGTGGCTGTTCCTCAGGCCTCTCCTTATCTAAGAAGGACCAGGTCATCTGGAACAGGTCTACTGGCCAACTGCCTCTGGGCAAAATAAGAGCAGGAAATTATTTTGTAAATACTTTTATTACCACAGGGTAACCTTTAATAAAGGATCTTACCCTTGGTTTATTACATTTGTTCTCCATTTTCTTCCAGCAATGCTGTAGTAATACCTTCTGCCACTTTTTCTCCTATACTATCACTTCTGAGAACCAAGACCTTCCTAAAATCTACTAGCAGAGTGAATCTGCAAAGAGAATACTGATAGGAATGACAGAAATGAAACTTTTTGCTTCTCCCACAATCCCGATGTAGGAAAGAGCATTAGTAATCAAGATCGTATTGGCAGTTTTCCTACTATTGAGAATAATGTGGAAAAGTGATCTGTTTCCTAATAAACTAACTGATGCTTTATCAGTTGAAGAGTGGGGTGAGTATAACTTTAGAGGCTGTATAAAAGATCTGCACAGTCCACAATTATGTCCTAAAATATTGTGAACTAATGAAGAACAGTTCCAGCCAGAGAACTCATTTGATGCCTAGTGGCAGAGAGACAAAAGGAGGAGGCAGAGAGAGATAAAAAGGGGGAAAAAAGAGGGCCAGCTGGTTTAACCTGCTCTTAGGTCTCTCCACCATTGTCTCAGCTTCCAATAGGCTTTTCTTGAGGATGATCAAGCCATCTGAGGAAAAAAATAATCTTACCTGTGCCAAGTCAAACTCTTCAGCAAAATGAAAAAGTCATTATAACACTCCCAGACACACAGTAGAAAAGCGAACTGACTGAATTGAATCCTGAAAATTAAATTGTAGATCGAAAGCAGAGCAATACAAATAAGGGTACATTTGGATGTTAGTTTGTTCATTTCTTCATGGCAGGGGTGAAATGCTCCCGGTTCGGACCGGATCACCTGATCCGGTAGCAATGGCAGCAGGTAGTTCAGAGAACCGGTAGCAAAAAATCCCTGCGCCCCCCCCCCACCATGCCCAGCTGAGCCGCATGATCATGAGAGACTTTTTTAAAAAAAACTTTTAAAAGCATTTTTTCTACAACCTCTTTTGACGAAAAAATGCTTTTAAAAGTAAAAAAAAAAGTCTCTGATGATCGCACGGCTCAGCTGGGATTGTCAGAGGCTTTTCAAAGCATTTTTTTCTGCAACCTCTTGGCCGAAGAGGTGGTAAAAAAAATGCTTTGAAAAGTCTCTGACGATCCCAGCTGAGTTGCCTGATGTCAGAGAGGCATTGTTTAAAAAGCCTCTCTGACGATCCCAGCTGAGTTGCCTGATTGGCAGAGGCTTTTCAAAGCATTAGAAAAAATGCTTTGAAAAGTTTTTTTTTTTTAAAGTTCACCACGCCCACCCAGTCACATTACCTCCCCCCAAGCCATGCCCACAGAACTGGTAGTAACAAATTTTACATTTCACCCCTTGGGTTTGGGGCTAATCTGCAAACTCTCTTCCAAGATAGAAGTCTAAAAATAAGTCCTTTAATTTGGTCTAAAGCACCAAGCCAGTGCCTCTTATTCCCTCTCTGTGAATCTCTCTGAGCTATCTGAAAGGAGCCATGGCATATTTCACATCTTCTTATAATCCCCAGTTATCCAATAGCAATTCCAAGTGTTGGCATAAAGAGTTTCCATAATTTTATAAAAAATATTTCTTATTTTAATCCTGATCAAATAAGTCAACTTTATAGTCCTTTCTTTTGCTTCTAACAACCTTGATCTTTAATTCATCAAGTTCCTGTCATAGGATTGAATCTCCATTGAAACGTCGTTTCTTCCATCTCAAAGATTACTTCAAGGCTTTGGAAACCCTCTTTTGTAAATCCAGTAATAAGTCATTTTATTCATAATCCTTCTATTTGCTCCTCAACAACAACCCAGTGAAGTGAGTTGGGCTGAGAGAGAATGACTGGCCAAAGTCATCCGGCAGGCTTTCCTACCTGAGAGGAGTAGAACTCATGGTCTTCTGATTACTAGCCTGATGCCTTAACCACCAGACCAAAGTGCTATTTTCAGCATTCTCCTATCTAAAAGTTACAGTTCTGTTTGAAAGAGCTACAAAGAAGTAGACAAAAGGAAATTAGAGACAGCATGACTAGTTCATGTCCGTTCATTGATATGGCCTAGATCCAATCCAGTATTACCCATCAAAGTCCAAGGCTATCAGTTGGAGCACCTCCCTTCAGTTCTGCAACATCAGATGTTGCAAGCTCAGATAACAATTTTTGAGGTAACTGATACATATCTGCAAATATTTGCAATTAATAGATCCTGCCGTGATCTATCGTAGGCTAGAGTCACAAATTCAGGATTATATGTCCACTTGTGAGTCAGATGATGTAGAAGTTCATTGAAGAAGTTGACAAAATGTACTGCCGAGATAATTAAAAATGACAAGCAGACTAAGACAGATATCAATGGTAAAGTTCATCACTTTTTTGAAAGCATAAACAAATACGCCCATGTAGGAGAAAAGCCACTTCCTTAATGTCCTTGTAAAACTACACAGTGGGCACATAAATACCATATTATACCAAACCTATACATCAAAGTCTGCTCTACACCACAACCACTTTGTTCAGACCCACTTGAGGGAGCGGCTCAACTGATGGAATTAAACTAGGCATTCAGAAGACAGAACAACCCATCCAACAAAATCAATCAATACAGCCTGATCAATTCCCAGGGAGAGTGGATTAAAAGATAGACTATAAATATAAAACAATGGAACACCACTAGTTGTCACCTACAACTCACAGCTCAATCCATTCCAATAAATTATTAATAAACGGTCCATGCTAGACAATGACACTGCATTTTTTCAGGCAATCAGTGTCAGGCCTGTACCGTATTTGAATCCACAGAACCACTCAGTCTGAAGAAAATTCTCATAAATATTAAGAAAGAACAAGGCAATGCTGGAGACCTGATCCTGCAACTAACTTAGATGTACTTCTGGGTACAGCATTAAAATTGGTTGTCTGAATGGTAGGACATAGATGGAAGTAATGCAGCATCCTTTGTGCTCTTTGATCCACTTTGCTGCCTACAGTGGCAAGGAATTGAAGGTAAGTTTAATTTGTGAGGTATTCTTGCCTAAGAAACTCAGGCACCAGAGAATGGTGTGGAGCTAGAAAGAATTCAGTCCTTGAATGTGGGAGAGAAACATTACATCTATGTAGTCTCTCTCTCTGTGTCCCTCTCTCACCCCCCTCTTTCTCTCTCACACACAGAACTTTAGGCAAAGCAAAAAGCAAGAGTGTTTCAAATCTTTATATAGGGTACAGAAACAAATGCACATGCATATGTGATATGGCAGAAAACAACAAATCAATAAAGGACATTGATTAGACCGAGAAAAGACACTCTTAAACATGTTACATCTTCCACTTTCCCACCTGGGTTTTTTTCTGTAACATTTGCAACACTCAGGACTTTAGAATACAACCATATTTACTTTCTGAATAGGCTACTTTTTGAACATCAAAAGAAAGGCTTTGGCTAAACAGAAAGACGTGTTTCCTAAACTTCAAAAGGGGCACAGATGACATGCTAAAATACTAGCATCGCCTTTATTAAAAAGCTGACAATGAAGCCTAAAATTCCAGAATGCAAATCCCCCACTTGGTTTGTAACCTATTAATTGTTTACTGAATCACTCTTATATTTAGTAAGCAAGTGAGAAATTAACATCTGAAATTGCATGGGAGTGTTCCTTGGGCAGAACTAAGAGAATAATGGCAACACTGCCTTGCAGATATTGAAGGGACACATTGAAGAAGACAGCATCCCGGCAGGCTACAGGCAATCTTAGCCATTTCCACAAGCAGTAGATATTTCATTCATCCCAATCTGTCAACTATGCCCCAAGTGTTTTGGTTTTCTTGAAAGGTTTCCCTGTTTCTTACCAGAGTAGAAACAATTTTAGCTAATTTCTGTTGCTGGGTAACGAAGCCTTCATGAAACATACAGCAGCTTTGATTCATGTACATATAGACCACACCTCCTTGTTCCACTAGGCCAGCCTATTTTGCAGTACTACATCTTTCAGAAAAAGGATTTCATCCTGAAATAGCTCATGGCTTTTTTCGGTGTCATTTAGAAAGCTTCAAAAGCTATAGACAGATTTGCAACAAATTCAGCCAACTCATGAACGCCTTTATAGTTCATAGCAACTCCAACAGCTGTAAATATTGCCCTCCAAATTTATTTTCTTCTGTGTAACTGCATTCCAGGAGCTGTCCATGTTCAATAATTATGTCTAAATTATCATTTAATTTCTTCTGGTGGGACCGGATGAATCTCTCCTGGCCATAGACAAGATATTGTACAAATTCCTTGTCAGAACTTTGGTAGAGTTTTAAAACCACGAATGCTGCAAGTCCACCAAAATCCATCAGGTAATCTGATGCCGTCAGGTTTATATGCCAAGGTCTGAACATTATTCAAAGCAGAAGTGCAATTTTGAATACTGTAGCTATTTGCCCCTTGCAGGTTTGCATTCTATCATCCCAAGCTGTTTAATCATTAGCTGGATCATTACAAAGATGACAGAAACACCACGTGTATATTCACTATGTAATCACTGTATCATGATGAGATAATTTCCATCATTCAAGACTTGCTGTGTGAAATGATGCATATGGTTTTGCTAATCCAGCAAAAAAATATACGGCTTCTTTATCATTTAATTGTGTCCCCATTTAATTCTGTTGCATATTTATAGACCTGGAAAAAGAGGGAGAGGAAGGTGAGACATGGAAAAGCAGAAAAAGAGAAGAACTTGCCTCTTATTTCTGTCAATACTGTACTGTAGCGTAATTTCTTTTAAAAATAAAGAGACGTTAATGTCTTGCAGTTTGACACAGATTCAGCAGAGGGAGCCAAAACAGTACATTCAGATTCTGAGGGGAAAATTCCCCCCTGCCCATCTCCACCATTAACATTATATACTCCTTGCGGTTTAGATATATTTAACCCAGACGGTGCATATATAAGCATTCCTTCTCATCTAGTTGGTTTAATAGTCATAGCACAAGCACAAAGCAGCCAATCATATTTAGGCTATCATATTATACAAATCCAAGCTGAATGGAAGAACTTTCAAGAAAACTGCATTGAAGAATGCAGA